CGGCCCGGCGGCCCCGGCGGGGGTGAGCGCGGGGAGCGTTGCGGGAGGGTGTAACAGACACGTGGGTGATGAGGATTTGCTTCTGGAGTAGCGATGGGATGGAGCGAAGCATCCTCTCTCTTAACTGACAGCAGGTCTTGGGGTGTCACGAGTGAAAAGCTTTTGGATGGTTTTTAGTGTGATGTGTGTCCCATCCCGCTGGGCTGGGAGCAGTGCACACGAAATCCTGGCAGGATTACATATAAACATCATGAGATTATATATCGGCATCTCTGTAAGGAGTACATCACGTTTTCTGTCAGAAGAGGGAAAATGATTCAGAGTGTGTGTCCTGTACTTAGAGAAACCCCAGTGAAGGCCATTTGACTTTTTTTTTTTCCATCTTAAGACTCTGTGGAAAGGTTTTACTAATATTTCATCTACCGTTTGGCCTAAAATAGCATTATGGAACTAAACACCTGCAAACAGATCTCTCTCGTCTCTGTAGAGATGCTGCTGGTTTGGATCTTGGGGTGAAACCACAACAATTGGTCAAACAGTGCCAATTTACATCTAATTCATTAAAACTGCTCTCATTATACAACAAGAACAGGCCTAGTTCCATGTGCAGCCCAAGGCTCTGGCTGGGCTTCAATCATCCTTGGACAGTCTGTTTTATTTCTCTCCTGGGATGTGCAAATTGCACAGCTTTTCCCAAGGTGTTAGAGCTGTATGAAGGTGGTTCCATACAAAGCAGATCCCAGTTCTGAGGGTGCTGTGGTGGTTATGGAATGAGACAATAGTGGAGGTAATCAGGATATATCAATGCTCTGCTTTCCTCCACTCCCCACCTCACCCTGTGTGAGGCAGAGGGTGTCAGTGCAAATCAGGAGACTGAGGGGATGTGCAAACTGTGAAGTTCTATTTATAGGCTCATTTCTATGTAGATATGAAGCTCTGCAAGGTAAGTTTAGGAGGCAATAATTGCCTGGCTTGGAAAACTAGAATTAGCAGTATGCAAAGGGACATTTGACTAACTGCACAAAAGGCACTGTGTATTTTCATCTTAAAATCTTCTACTATTTTTGGACTTCTTTAAGGCAAAAATCAGCCCTTGTCAGTTTTGCAGCATGAGTCAGTGCCAGGAAAGCAGAGCTTTGTGCACTACAAAGGCAGTCTGACTCCTTTCCTTCTGTTACCATAGTAACTCTCCCAGCCATACCCCGTGAAGGCTCCATCCAAGCCCCACCAGCTCTTCCACTGCTGAGCTAGTCTGCAGTAAGGAAGAAGTAAAAAAAAAAAGCTGCAGAGTTCTAATAAAGTTTGTCCTGCACTCAGGACAGATAATCTCTCATTATGGAGTTTACTTGCATGAGCTTCCTTTCTTCAGAGTGGGCAGTGTTCTCTCAGACAAGCAGCATTGCTAAAGGTGTTTCCTCTTGCTCAGAGGAGACAGTCACAGCTGCTGTGGTGATACATGGGCAAGGCAAATCTGGATTCACTGCTCTATTACATACATCTTCCTCCTAGTACACTCACTTTTCTCTACAGCCCTGATTTCTGAAGCCCCACAGAAGAATTTCTGCAGCATAATGGCACTGTTGTCTCAGCTCCTTGCACTGTCCTGGCCAGGGATAACCAGAAGGAACTGGAGGCTGTGAATTTAATCTCTTCAAAACTGGATGGTGCAGTGTCACATGAACAATCAGAGGCCAAGAGTTGATGGAAGGAAAATACAGTGTTCAATTTGATCATGAGAATCTTGAGATCTCTACTTATTGGCAGCACAAATAAGCAAAAATAAGTATTTTTTTAATCTCATTTCCTGCAGTGGCTGGTCCCTGGCACCCACATTCTCCACTGGGCTCTGTGGCTGTGAGGAGGAGCTATGGAAGATCCTGAGAGGAAGACTGAGGTAGTACTGCTGGCCTGTGGGTCTTTCAATCCCATCACCAACATGCACCTGAGGCTGTTTGAGCTGGCTAAGGACTACTTGCATGAAACAGGTAGGATGGTAACTCACATCGTTCAGAATGGCTTTGATAACTAGACACTTCCATGTTAAGGTGAATATTTTGTGTCTGTGAATGGCTGTTTGACAGTGACAGGCTTTTGGAAATACTAATCATATTGAAGGTAGTGTGTTTATGTCTCATGCAAAACCATGTAGGGCAACATGAGAGAACTGTCATATATGTGTTGCTTATCACTGGTTTTAGTGACTTGCAGCTTAGGGTTTATGGTTTGTTTATAGAAATATCTCTTTCTAATATACCTTACTAACTCTTCTCTTGTGCTGCCCTGACAGTGCTGTACTGTATTTTTCCACTGGGCTGTCAGAGCTGGCATTGCACTGAATAGTGTTTATGTCATATTTAAGTACAATACAAGGGAAGTAACAGCTGCTCAACCACTTCTCATGTTCTTGTGGGATGTGTTTTCTTCCTCAGGAAAATACAAAGTCATCAAAGGCATCATTTCACCAGTGGGTGATGCATACAAGAAGAAAGGTCTGATCAGTGCAAATCACCGAGTGACCATGGCAAAACTGGCTACAAAAGACTCGGATTGGGTGGAAGTTGATGATTGGGAAAGCAGCCAGAGTGAGTGGCAGGAAACACTCAAAGTTTTAAGGTATTGTTCAGCCAAGCCCTAAAAAGTTTCACATACCTATAGAAGGATAAGGGGTGGTGTTAACTCTGATAGCAGGCTGAGACCAAATCATGTGGATAGACTCAGTGCATTCAGAAAGACTATGTAAATGGGAAATGAAAGATTGTACCATGAGTCCAAAAATGAGCCTGTGAATGATGTTTAGAATATTAGTGTTTCCTTATTCAGTTTTTGTGTTGGAAAGGTAATAATGGGCTGTGCTGCCAATTTGTGTACCTAAAGACTGACATAAGAGTTGTCTGAAGGAGTATCTTTTCCTCACTTTTCCATTTTGCTACTCTTTGTCGTTGCCACTTCACCAAGGTTCTTCTTATTAAAATGAATTTGTATTAACAAAGAGACAAACCAACCTTGGTGTTGTTGCTTTGCAGTCTTTGCACTTTGACACCATCTGACCCAGCTCTCCCCAGTTCCTGTTTGAGCAGATCAGCTCTTGGGTGGACTGTCAGTGAAAGTGCTGCAGGAGGAAGTGGGGAGAGATAATTTAGCTGTCCCTGTTTTGCAGGTACCATCACCAAAAGCTTTCATCTCCTGATGGCACTAACAGTCTGCAGGATGCTGTTCCCTTGCCAAGGGGAAGGAAGAGGAAGCAGGAACCAAACAGATATGAGCCTGTTAAAAGGAAAAGTCAGAGTCCAGATATAAAGAGTTAAGTCTGTTTGCAGCTTAAATGGGTAACAGCAATTGTGATTTCAAGAGAATTGGACCAGTGAGTAACTTTTTTACGGTAGCTCTTGGTTCTGATGCCCCTGAGTAAGTTTATTCCCTTAGATCCCACAGCATAAGGCAATAGGTCCTTTTAATGAAGGGACTCCCATAGCCTTTGTTCAGAAAAATCCTGTATCGAGGCTACTAATTGTAAATTAAATACTCTGAATCTTCTTTATTTCATTCCGTTGTCTCATCTTAACCAAAGAGACGGAGAGGCAGCCTAGAAATTCAACATCCCCATCAGGTTAGCTAAACTGGTGGCCTAACCCAAGCCTTGTTTCTCACTTATTTTCCTTCTTAAGGTGTCCCACAAGTTAAACTGCTGTGTGGAAGTGACGTGCTGGAATCTTTTGGGATCCCTAACCTGTGGAAATTGGAGGACATCACTGAAATCGTGGAGAAGCATGGCCTTGTGTGCATCAGCAGGGCTGGAAGCAACGTTCAGAAATTCATCTATGAATCTGATCTTTTGTGGAGACATAAGAATAACATTCACCTCGTGGAAGAATGGATCACAAATGACATTTCCTCCACCAAGATCAGGAGAGCCCTGAGGAGGGGCCAGAGCATCCGGTACCTGGTGCCTGAGGGAGTGAGAGCTTACATAGAGAAAAATGACCTGTACAGTCCTGAGAGTGAGGACAGGAATGCTGGGGTGGTCCTGGCTCCCTTGCAGAAATATGCCAGTGACTCCAGCAACTAACAGGCACTAAGCACCTAACTTGCTGCTGTGAAAGAAGCTACAGTTCAGTACAGGGAAGTGTGTTTTTAAGGTTTGTGGGGTTTTGTAAGTAAATAATGGAGTACTTCTGTGGCTTTAGTACCTCTGTAGTTCTGTTGAGGTTTGGTGCCCTCAATGATTGGACCTATACAAGTCCAATAATAAGATTTTCACCTTTGAACATTTTGTCATAGTGCAGTGAAGTCTTAAGGATTCACATTTGCCTATGACAATTGCCAGTTAAAAAGCAAAACAAATGAAAGTGTTCTGATTAGGTTTAACTCAGATTGCTCAATCTGCTCTCAAATTTATAAATTTGCAATTTGTAATATACACAAATGTTTTGAACAGCTTACAACGTCTTATCAAAGCTATTTAATGTCAAGATGTTCCATTCACTGATAGTAAATCTATAGAACTCTTGTTTTGTAATTGCCAACGTGTGGTTCACCTCAGAAGAGTTACTTGGCTCTGTCCTGGAGGGGAAAAATTTCCCCCTGGGTGGAGTGCTGCTAGGTACAGCATGCTTGGAGCTGCTTTCCTTTCAGATGTGCAGCTGCTTCTTAGCTGGCATGCAACTTGCTCCCAGAAATGCCTTGTGCTTTGCTTTTCATTCATGTTTCCAGGGCTGTGGATTAAGCTCAGTATTGTTTCTGATGAAAGGACAAACCTACCTCAGAAACCAGTTTACAGCTATTGATTTATGACAGTGTCATTCTCATTCTAGACAGTTGTACCTGGACTACAAATAAGACATTTGTCTCAAATAATGAAGTATCTTTTACTTTTGAGCCATAAGGACAATAGAATTGTATGTAGCCAGAACTGTTTTCCATTGCTGGAGTTGAGAGGAATGGTAAGATATTGGTCCTGTACCCAAGTGAATGTTTCTCTTTGGTAGAAATATGGGTTGTATATTGTCTGTGTTATGAACACAGTGCTAGACACTATGAATGTCCTGGTGCTGGAATTCCACCTCCCTTTGCTGCCATCCCACATTGATTTGGATTATGTGCCTTATTAAAACTGTCAGGGTTTCCAAGCCTCTATCTCTTGGGTCAGCAGCTCTTTCATAGGATCTCCACAAGATGACTGGTCACTTTTTCCAGATCAGCAGATCCAGCAGAGTGTGAGACTCTCAGGGCAGGAGGCTGAGATGCTCTTGGGCAAGTCTGGAAACACTGGGGACATGTTCCAGGGTCATAGCTGTGACAACCCATCCTTCTCCTGCCCTGTGCAAAGGATCCCCAGAGAGCTGAGGCAGAGCTGTAGGCTTCCCTGAGGGTTAGGAGGAGTCTGAAAGCCAAACACATCGTGGGTGGCTCTGAGGCCTGTGGGGCTCATAGAAAACCCAGCAGGGGAGTTGGGACACCAGTGGGAAAGCCTGTATCCCATGGGCAAACTGTCCACATGGAGCCCCACACAGAATTCATCTGTGTTCTACTAGTTCCAGCCTGCAAAGGCAGGAGAACACACAAGGAGATGAGCGTAACAAGATCAAGTCACACCTTAGAAGTGCACGTGTGACTGCACTGTGACAAAGGGAGCACCAAGGATTCTTGGGGGTTTATTTAGTGGGAAAGCCTGTATCCCATGGGCAAACTGTCCACATGGAGCCCCACACAGAATTCATCTGTGTTCTACTAGTTCCAGCCTGCAAAGGCAGGAGAACACACAAGGAGATGAGCGTAACAAGATCAAGTCACACCTTAGAAGTGCACGTGTGACTGCACTGTGACAAAGGGAGCACCAAGGATTCTTGGGGGTTTATTTTGGTGAGCAGCAAATT